GTTTCATAATTGTTATCAATAAATTAAGTTTATATGTAAATATATGTCAAATACGTATTTCTTTCCTCAGGGATGGACTTAAGGACAATCTGGACCAGCGTTTCTTGATATCCTGGTCATCTCTGGGACAGACATAGACAAAGGATCTGCATTTATGACATCATATTACATTGGTAGAATGGTTGGACCAATCATGGCCGGCATATTATATTCGAAAATTTATTGAAGATGCAAATTGTATTTTCTGTAATTAGGGTGTCTCCTCTGTCACAATTTGTGTGGTTACATACCTCAGTCCTCAGTCAGCTGATGTCGATCTATATAAGCTTTGAATTCATATAGATTTTTTGCCAGCGAAACATTCTGCGAACATGAAACAACTGATATTGTTCACATTGTGGCAGATAGCAAAAGTGACAATATCACGTTTAATTGTTATTGACCAATCAGAACGGTTCTTTCTATTCACTGCATTTAAGCTGTGAGATGAAGCAACGGCTGCAAAAAATGATGTTTTGGAACATATTTACTACATACACTTTAATGTTGATTGAACTACGTAGTTGGTAACGTAATGTAAGTAAATCTTGCCAGATTGTAGTAGAAAACGATGTAATTGTAATTGAGTAACATAATTCAAAATGACTCTTGTTGTCCTCGACTTCCTCTCGGTAAATATCACTTTCTTAGGTCCATATAACCCCATATGCACCCAAATAAAAGTCAATAATTGATAAATGTTTATTTTTTTCCTCTATTTTACTTTAGTCGTGTACTATTGATATGTATACCCGAAGATATATTACAAATTTTAATAGCATCATTTTAGATCCCTGCTTTTGCCAAAAATAAAACTCTGAATATCTTTTCTTTCAGCCGTGATATCCGAAGCGGTAACTATATGGGGAAGAACAACGAGGGGGCGGTCCTATCTGCAAATACTGAACACAGTCTTTGCCATTTTCAGCGTATTGTCGCCATTAGCAACCGCGCCATTTTTATTACAAACATCAGAAAATGAAACTTATCATCAGGGAAATTCTTCAAACGTCACAATGGTCAAATTGGACTTTAAGCCGATAGTTGCAAATACATCCTTTCCATCCTCAGCTGATTAGATGTTTGATAACAGGACAAAATCGTCTTCTTTTCCGGAGTCGACATCCCGACTTTATATCGCCTATACTATTTCCGCTTCTATAATGATGATAGGAGTGATTCCATTCTATGTGCTGTATCATCATTCTAAATCAAGCGACAGCCAGATTAACCAGAATGAACACATAAGTTACAACTTTCTGGGAAATCGTTCTATACTTGTAAAACGACTGCAATTACTCAATGTGGGTATATTCAGTTTCTTTTATTTTGATCTGGATTTCACCTTAAGTGGGTTTCTGTCGACGTTCTGTGTTCTTGGTTTAAACTGGACGAAAACATCCGGGGCTTATCTTACCTCTGTTGTGTTTTTCGCGACGTTGTTTGGCAGGATAAGTGGCATCTTCCTTGTACAAATCTTACACGTCCGAACTATTCTTCTAACTTCCACATTTGTGTACACTGCCGGATATATCGGGATTTTAATCAGTGCGCATGCTCACGTCGATATCGCTATATGGTTTCCATATGTGTCATTGGGTTTCCGTTTGGGTTTGCTATGATCTTGACCTTTGCATCTGGATTTCCCCTCCTGTACAGTATCTGAAGTGGAATGGCATTGTTACTAACAAGCACTTTCCTATTACAAGATGACGATTATAGCTCGCTAGACTAGCTATGCATAACGCATAAGATAAAGATTACAATAACCATTACCGTGATAGCTTAGTTTATTTGCAAGCGTATCTGTAACGAAATCATTTTTCGCTTATAAAAGTCGACAACTTGCATTTTCTTCATTTCTTTTATTTTGCAATTTCCGTTTTCATTCCATGTTGGTCCTGTGATAGGAAGGATATGAATGTGCTTAAAGCAGAATAATCTCCTTGATAAATACATCCCTTATGATCTTATCAATGCCGTTGTATATGGATAATGCCGTATATGAATAATGGCTGATCTCAGAATTCAAAGATCTTTCGTACAAGCACCCTGCAGGTCGGGGAATGAGAAAAAATATATATGATGGTAACTTCTACACGTGTAAGAGACAACTAAAGTGGTTACCCCTACATAATTGGGGATTTGCTTTTGTGCCCTCTACTAGGACCCACCGATGCGACCAGAATACATTTTCTGTGCCGATTGTAACAACTTCCTTAAAACCTTGTAGTTTTTGCTATTGCTTGGCAATACCTCACTTTTTTTTACCTTAGTGGTGAACGTTCGTCCAAGTGAGGAATGCATTGGGTTCTGTTGCAAGCCGGGACTTCTCAAAGTTCGTGAAAATTGTAGTTGTTGTTGTTGTTGTTGTCTGTTAATCGTTCAGCATTTAGGGTATTTACAACAACTGGTTGACTCTTTGCCAGGCTAATGTGACCGGGTTAGAATACCATGCCGGGCGCCTTCAGCATGGTATTTTGAGGAAGCGGTATAAAGTAGGCATCGGATCCGCGCTATCACAAGGAGGAAATCTACACCACCATCATGCCTCCAGCACATATCGAACGATAAGAAATATTGTGACGTCACGCCTAAAAGTACATGACGTCACAGACTTACGCACTGGAGTCAAAATGGCCGCAAAAAAAAAAAAATGAAAAAATTCTTAGATTCGTTTCATAAATCTCATATGAAATGGAAACTCATTTAAGATCCTATTTATATATGTAATAAAGCCCGCCAATTACAGAGAGTCAACCTATTATTATTCGGCATCTTCCTGTCAACATGTGAAGGCATTTCGAAATTCCTGTTACAGTCACTGTAAACAAATACAAGTTTACGCGGAGTAATGTATACATAAAACACTTCCTGTCATCAGCTGTCCTATATCTGAAATTTACGCTTCAATGGTCATTTTTCCCAAAAGATATTTGTTCGTAACTTTAAAAAAGAATTCTTAACGACAGATTTTCCCCATGCTCAGTGATTTTGATGGATAATCGTGACCCTACTCAGCAACCTGACGTTACTTAGCTCGCGCACACATTCTACGATTTGCCGAAAGGGAACAATCCATTTCCAGGTTGTTCCCTGGATTTATCATGCTACTAGAAGGTGGTACAAAGTAGTATGTGCATGACGAACTGAATTGTTTGTATTTCTCTAAAAATAACACCAAGTTTAGGTGATATAACTTGTTATTGCGACAAATTGGGATCGAACTAGAGATTTACAATCGGGGCGCGTAACTGGACTGTCAACAATGCAAAGCTTATATAATTACCATCTTAGGGGATCCGGCACACCCAGCTGAGGGAAAAAATGAAATCTAGAAGCTCTGTGATGCTGTCTGGTAGCTTTTGATAGCAACATTTGAGTGTTTAATTTATTCAATATGATGGTTTTTCTTTTGGGGGTTTTCCCAGAATGCCTTGGTGGAAAACGTGAATTGTTATTGAAATAGCAGAAAATAATTTTAGTAAAAAAAAAAGCTATTACAAATTCGACATCCATTTCCCTATATACTTAATACGTAATAACGATTGTTGGCATTTTTGTCAAGATATGGCTCATTGTAAGGAATACATACAGTTAAGTACATGCAATTGTTTATTTTCTTACATCACAGGGGTTCGTTACAAATGTCTGAAATACACATATGCTATACTGATATATGTGCTGTGACCCATATCGGTATAGACGTTTGTGTATTTCAGACATTTGTAACGAACCCATATGCTTACATAGCAGCTACGCGGCTGATGCCAATATAATTCATAACCCATTAACGGAACTCTCTTGTATTGAAAACCAGAAATATAATGGCAATGGCCGCTGTTTATGAATCACGGTCAATCACCAATTTAGGACTAAGATCACAATTAATTTTACTATATGTTTCATTGTAACATTTAATTTCATACCAAATTCCCAATATTTGATAGCCAACTTTCCATCTAACCTGGTCAAGAGCAACATCTTGGGAGTAAAATATCAAACTTTCAACATAGGATGTTGGCCTTTTTCTTGAGAGTATCGTCTGCATGTGTCACCAATGTCAAAAATAAACTTCCGGGTCAGGGGTATAGGTAAACACAGGACTTTTCACACAGCACCCTGCACCAAAAAATAAATGCACAATATAAAAATTTGACACAGAAATTGTTAGATTGATATCTTTACACAAATACCAAGTTCTAAGAGGCATAGTATATTTTTTACTAAAGTACCTATATTTCTTAGGGACTTCATTCGTGGGTACTGCCCCGGAAGCAATTTAATTGTGACCTCAGTCCATCTCCACGCAGAGTTACGGTCCGTGTGATTGAAAAGGAGAGACAACCCTGAATCACAGGTACTAGCCTCGTGTGTCTTATAGGTGAAGACAGACGAGGCTAATACCTGTGGTACAATCGGGAATCACAGGCACTTTCCGTATCAATCGTCATCATATTATAATAATGTAAAGATTATGTTATAAAAAGAGTAAAGTTTTATAGAATATTAACTCTTTTATATTATTAGGGCGTTCAAGATACTGAATGTTGACTGCGAATTTTTTATCATTCGAGAAATAACTGGCATCATTTATATCAAACTCTGTAGATAATTACAGCAAAACTTCGTTATACTGCCACTATTTGTCCAGCAATAAAAGAGGTGGCATTATATCGAAATTTTAATGTACATGTACATAAACTTTTACAATATATTCATACTACGGGGTACTTGTATATTGTTATGTACATATAGTTTTTCATTGATGGATAAATCAGAGTACCTGGAGGAAAAACCACAGTTGTCAGCTAGAAAAGAAAAACAGGAAACCACGATGATACTTATAATGGGCTGTCCCGATTTTATCCTTGTGTGTTGACAATATGTTATTTTACGATTATCATAATTTTATTATGAATACATCCTGCTATGGTTCGAAGTTCAATTATGTTTAACGACGCAGTCTGAGCGTTCTGAAGTGCTCTTGTAGTTAGACACGGATCGCCATGACCTTATTGCCTAATTTTAGACGATTTATTTGAAAATCTTGAGGAACGTTTGCTAATTGGCCGGTCTGTCCACGCCCCATCGTTTATATAAGTGTTCAAATCAAGGATTCACCATGACATATGTTCTGTGTGTATGCGTGGAGCTGTAAGATCGAAAGTAAGTATGGATTTTAATACTTAACCACACAGTTCCTGTCAGCTTAGTGACAAGTTTTAATATCATGTTTTAATTAGTTGTATTTTCTTGATTACAAAATACGCATGCGCAGCAATTCTCTCGTGAATAATATGCGGAAAAGTACTAATATCTTTGTCAGTATTTTTAAATGATATATTTGGCTAGATAACGATAAAACGGTATGCCGGGTGGCGGATTCCGGAAAGTATCTCGGTCATGCGGCGATAGTAATTGTGTGTAGGCGGTCGTGTATATCCGGATAAGGTTTAAGAACGAATAATTTAAAGCTTTCCTAAAAAATTAAGTGACTAAATTTAACAATGTGCATCGGTATATGCACATAAGAAAACGTGTTCAGTTACTTAAAATATTATGACATATCACAGTGTATATATTTCGTTGCTGTTAGGTGTTCATGGTAGTGGGTTAAAGTCCACGTGGAAAATATTCATACGCAAAATAAAGCAAAATCTGAAACCTTTAGATAAACACATATATGTCGTATTTCCCATCTACTACATACCAGGAAATGTTCGCAGTAAGATACCAGGTAAAAGAATGTTTATTTAACGGCACAGCAGTTTAACATTCCCCACTTTCGCCTTCCCTTATATGGCCACAATGATCTTGAAAGCGAATATTAATTCACAGCATATATATTAAACAAAAAAGGGAAGGGCGAAAGTTTGACTTGTTGAAAATGTTCCGGTATATCGTCTATCATGGCTATATATGATTTTGATATAACACAATTATCTATTTCTGCCAGGCTATGACGGGGCGTCTACCGTTATGGGCACTTATGTGTCTACCAGGCCTGTTTGGACAATTGCTGTCAAAGGAACGTGACTATCAAATAGCAAAACTGGAAAACCAGGTGATGGAGTCTATCCGAATCCCTATCATGTCCCTTACTGAGAGTATACTCCAAACCCAGATGGATCAGTGCGACAGGGCTATCAACCTGCTGCAGAATAAAATGGTAGAAATGGAGGAGCGATTGCAGGTTCAAGAGACACGGGAGATAAGTATGTAAATTTGAGTGAAGGGCTGTCGCAATAAATCGGAAAATCGGTGTATCACAATACACCGGCATATTGCATCGTATCGCAATACATAAATGAAACCATCCTCAATACTCCAGGGGTTACGCTCACTTTCGCTCAGGCCAAACGTAATTCTTGAAGTGTCTAGGATGCTGTATATGACAGGAATTTCCTGGAAGCTAAATTTTATGTATCTGTTATGTTTTTAAGTTGCGAATCACTTCAAGTACTAACAGGTATACAAAATAACTATACAGAAAGAGGTATGGCGTACTTGTCCCTGTTTCGACCTTAACGCGACCCATTGCAAAATCATTAATAATACAAATGTGTTTTCAATTTCGGCAAATTTAGATATCTAACGTGGATGGAGTTTATCCTCGTGTCAATAAATAGAAAAAAGCTTTGGATATGTGCCGTACGCAGGACGTAAAAGATTCTTCTTTTGAGAAATATTCAATGAAACAGGGATTGTCTCGACTTTAAATGCGTTTTAACAGACAATTCATTCAGGTACCAACTTTTGGGCTGTTGATTTTAAACATTCAACATCAAATACAATTTCAATCCTATTCTCTAAAAGTGGTAAAGGAATTCGCTGTTATTGAACAAATTTAAAAACAAACTACGACTAAACGTGTTATAAGGTTATTGAACTCCATCTTGAACAAATTTATGAAATGTTAATGGTCTGGTCCACAGCTTAGACAGTAAAAGGTTTTGTTTGGTAATTCCTAGATTGAAAGTTTGAGTCCGTGTCCCGTAGAGCATTTTTCTGTTTCCCTCCATACTATATATTTTTAAACGAGTCAATTGGAGCAATCGGGAACCATCGGCAATTTCCGTAAACGGGACAAAATGCATTCTCTTTTACGGAAAGTGCCAACGGTTTCCGATTATCAATTGGAGCTGTAGGTGTGGGTGGTTTTTTTTTAAATTCATATTTCAGATATTTAAGATTTGGGAAAACGAATGTTGTATTTCAGAAAAAAATGCTTATCAAGAATTCGCTTCATTGCTTCATAATATTAAAACAACGAATACTGGTAGCCTTATTTAATTTGGTTTTAGACTCATTTTGCTACAAAAAGTATATACAGTATATTTGCTTTTAATTAGGCTTGAACAAGCTAGATGTTCTGTATTTAAAAATGTCATGCATGAAAATAATTAACTGTTTAATTGATTTTTTATGTTCATTTGATTAATGCTCTATTTGTATTTCCCTTCAATATTCATAATATCATGAACATTTTGTATATAATACCTGATACGTGTATGACAGAGAGTTTGCATGTACTATTCTTAAACAACGAGTTACTGAATGCACGCACATTAGTAGCTTTTAATCGTGTATTTTAAACGGTGTCAATGCGGCAAACTGAAATAGTTGTTCAGCGAACCTTACACGTCATACCTTATCCCTAATGGTTTGAACGTAAATATAAGTAATAATGTTTCGTCTGCCAGTTCATCCATATTAAATATAATTTCAATTCTGAAATAAATGTCTACAACTTAAATCCACATTTTAGGCAATCAAGCCATTGAGCAAATCCGATTTTTTTAGAATTGAGAACGATTTTAACAAGAAGCCCAGAGGGCCTGTATCGCTCACCTGGATATCAAAAGTAATCATGGCAAAATGTTCTCCAAATAAGATCCAAGGGAATGGGCCAGACCCCAAGGTCAATCGTTGAATCATATCTATATTAGATGTGTCATGCCCAGCAATTTTAGGTATGGTTATAACTTATGGGGTGGGAATCTCAAAAGGTGTGATTCAGAAATTAGGTCCCTAGGGTTGTGGCCAGACCCCAGGATCAATTATAATATCATGACTGCATTCGTCTTTTTATGCCCAACAGTTGTAAATATAGTTTTGGGGTGGGAATCTTAACCGTTTCAAAGCCATGACCCGGGGGTTAAATCTCCAAGATTGGGGCATACCCCAGGATCAATTATAATATCATGGCTACATTCGTCTCTTTATGCCCAGCATTTGTATATACAGTTTTGGGGTGGGGATCTCAACCGTTTCAAAGTTATGACCCAGGGACTATGTCTCCAAGGGTGGGGCCAGACCCCTGGGCAATCCTGGAAGCATATGTGCATTCTTCTCTTCATACTCAGCAATTGTATATATGGTAATATATGGGGATCTCAACCATTTCCAAGCAATAAACAATGTTTTGCCCCACCCTTAGACAAAGGGGTCAGCCCCACTACTTTTACAATTTGAATCCCTGCCTCCCATGAATGCTTCCAACTAAATATGATTGATATCAAGTGCATAGTTCTACGTAAGAAGTAATGTTTAGCAATATAGCAAAAATTACCCCCTTTTGGCCACGCCCCTCAACTCCCTGGGGGGTCAGCCCCACCATTTGTTCACTTTTGAATCCCCACCTCTCATAAATGCTTCTGACATAAATATGATTGATATCCAGTGCACAGTTCTACAGAAGAAGTCATTATAGAAATTTAACCAAATTGACCCTTTTTGGCCACGCCCCTCAGCCCCCTGGGGGGTCAGCCCCACCATTTGTACAATTTTGAATCCCCACTACTTAGGGATGCTTCCAGCCAAATATGGTTGATGTCAATCTTTTAGCTGTAGAGAAGAAGTTGCAATATAGCCAAATAACCCTTTTTGGCCCCACCCCTCAGCCCCTTGGGGGTCAGCCCTACCATTTGTACAATTTTTAATCTCCGCCTCCAATGAATGCTTCTGACTAAAAATGATTGATATCCATAGCAACATAGCCGAATTGTCCCCTTTTGGCCCCGCCCCTCAGCCCCCTGGGGGATTAACCCAACCATTTGTACAAATATGGCATAAGCTCACCTTGGTCCTTCGGACCAGGTGAGCTAATAAGAGGACAATTTGGATTGTAAAGAATAGGCAACTTCATGACAGTGAACACAAAAAATTCATATATTTACATCTCCGCTGCAAGTCCCTGAACTGCCAAAAGAAATTGCATTCATATGGTTATGAACGCAACGCGATCAGTGTGACTTTGACGCGTCTCTTTCCTTACGACACCATTTTAGATGACGTAAGGCTGTACCAGGAATGTCGTTTGCACTGATTATACGAAAAATATCGATACAATAAGCATCGGAAATAATTCCGTTTAAATCACTAATAACTATAAATTAATAATGAAAATATATGTATTGCTTAACGAAAGGCAATCGGGAACCGTCGGCACTTTCCGCATTGTTTACGGAAAGTACCGATGGTTATAATAGTCCAGTAGGCCTCGGGCTAATCACTCTGTGCACGACAAGACCCGAGACAATCGGGAACCGTCGGCACTTTCCGTAAACGAGAAAAATACTCGTTTACGGAAAGTGCCGACGGTTCCCGAATGGTCCCGAGAGCGAGATTCTGGGGAAAGCGAGACTAGCTTCGTACCACAATATGGTTATAAGCGATTGGCCTTTATATTGTCAAGATAGAAAAACTCTGTTCAATAACTTTGCTTCCGGTTCCATTTCAGATAGCAGGATAGGATTCTACACATATATAACTTTTGAAACCACGGACGCCATTCTTAAATTCGACAGAGTCATATTTAACGAAGGCAATGCGTACAACAGCTCCACCGGTAGCTTCACGTGCCAAGTACCTGGCACGTACCATTTTGTTTGGTCAGTCCAGATACAAAATACGGACTGGGGTCACGTGCTTGTGGATTTCCAATTGAACGGGAACACAAAAGGTTTTACTATAACGTTTGGTCCTAAGGAACACACAAGCACGAATTCAATTATTATTCGGCTTGAGCAGGGAGACAGAGTTTGGCTACAGAAAAGGTCGATGAATCAGATCAAGATTGCGGCCTACGAAACCTCATTTTCCGGACACTTTTTGTTTTATTAGGCATACATATATTACATATTACGTCTCTGATGATGCCAACAAATCATCTTCGACTGTTTGACAATAAAGGCATACTCTGCATTTTGTAGTTTGTTTATAGTCAAATAATGACATCTTTCTAGCTGATTAAAACCTAGGTTCTTGTGTTCACTTTCTATTTCAAATTCTCGATACTCTGCACTCCTGGAATATGTCATGGCAAAATCGAAGACTCAGTGTGCGCCGCCTTGTTAATGAGACATGAAGACTATATTGATCCTTCGATGTTCATCAAAAGAATCTCGCGGTCGCTTAACGGTAAAATTACCCGGCTTTGAAGTCGGTGTCCCTCCTCTTTAATCTTCAAGGACAAGTATAGCGACTGTTCATGTTTTTCTTTTCCTGTGACCAATCAAATAGCTAGCAGTGTGCCTTCAATTTGTTCATGACATATTCCAGGGGTGCAGAGAACGTAAGTGAGTATTGAGTATTGAGGATACCTATTTCGGCGTTACTAGTTTTGTTTAGTAGTCCACAGGGCCAGTTCAGTAGATTAATTGCTAGCCCTACGTCAATATATCTAGTCCAAGACAAGCCCTTAAGGAAGCATACCCAATGCGAAACATGATTAAATGAGCATAGGAACATTAAAAAATGCAACATATCTGTATTTTAAAACCGTTTTTAAGAAAATATTGTTGTGTTATAATCTATCAACTAATATTATGATAATAAACATGTATGTCGTTTTCAAAAGTACAAAGAGCCAGTTAGGTTAATTGATTCAAAAGCCTTTGCTGAAATCTATTTCTATGGGACTGGTTGTTGTCAAACCCTGTATTCCTCTTCGGTATTTCTGTATATTTACTCATTAAAATAAATTAAATTAAAAACATTGTCTTCCGTCTTCTTTTGTCAATAAAATGTATTGTTTATTGTGTGAATACTAGTGACGATTTTTGTCCTATTTCGGCCTTATTTTATATGTCATCGAAAACCGTCGGCTCTTTCCGTAAACGAGTATTTTCTCGTTTACGGAAAGTGCCGACGGTTTCCGATTGTTTAATTTGTATGGTAAAAGATGGTGGCGTTAAAGGATACTTGTCCCACTGCAGATAATTCCGCTATAGTTTTTCACAATTTTCACCTTCCCTTCGGCGTCTTATTTCAGTGAGACAGCACTATAAGGTCGGCATCAGATCCGCACTTCCACAGAAAGGCAATCACACTAACATACCCTGACTCTAGCAGAAACACACACATGCACACATACACAACACGCATTAAAGCAAGTCCATGAATTACCCTATTCCGTCTTTGCGTATTGCAGAGTTATCTTCTCTTGGGAGCAGGTATTGATTGTTACGTCACTTATTTATGAGAGTAACGTCATCAATTTTTGAAAAAACGACGAAATTTTCCCGCACAAACCAATGACGTAACAATCAATACCTGCTCCTAAGAGAAGATAACTCTGCAATACGCAAAGACGGAATAGGTGTTGATAGGACGTTCATCACTGTACATTAGCATTGCTCCTTTGAAACAGGGAAAGCTGGCTTACCATATGTATCCGGAACTCTATAAAGTAATATCTATTAATAAATTCATCGTATGTGTTGTATTTAGAATTGTATTATTTGAGATCCAAAATCAAAGACTCGATCCGACAGCATACCTTTAAAACATTCAAGTGGCGTGGACTTTCGACTTCTCGAAATGATCCGTAAACTGTTTCAAGGCGTCAATGGTGACAGAAGACCAATTATATATATTAACGCCAGGTCACATGACTGAATAATTAGAAAAAGAAATAAAATAATTTGCATACAAGAATGATCTCTGACCCATATTTCGTCATTTCCGGTCCATGGAAGTGATCAACGAGATAAGGTAAGTGACAATTTCTTTATAATATCGTGCATTTTTTATTTGTGTGTTTCCATAAATATGATGATCACGTGCACATACAAATGGTGCCTTTCGGTGTGATGTGTTCTTTGCGCAGAAAATCCCCCAAAAAATAAATGAATGAAAGGAGGGTTTAAAAACCTACCTCATCCTACCATTATGGAGCGCCTTATTCCTTTTTATAGTAGTTTAATTTTTCAATAAATCAATTTTTAGCTATCAAGAAATCAATTTTCGATATCAAGATTTCGAAGTATTGAAATAAAGAAATCAATTCCTTATATCAAGAAATAGATATTTTTTATATCAATAATTTTACTTCTTGATATCAAGAAATAACTTTATTGATTCAATAAATTACTTAATTGATATCAAATTATATTTCTTGATGTCAATTTATGCTTTTTTGATATCAAGAATTTGCAATAATTCGACCTTTTTAAACCAAATATTCCTTTTTTGATATCAGTAAATTGATATCGTGATACTTGTATATAAAACTGGGTTACTAGTTCGATGGGGTCCCCCATCACCCTACACATAAAGTCATATTCTTACGGTTACACGAAGCAGAGGTCTTCTTAAGTTAAGGAAACATAGCACGTTAATAATCAAAGTCTATTGAGGATTTCCTTCGCATTTAATGTTGTGGAATGCAGATATCTATGTCACAGATTTTGGTATGTTGATATATAAGTGTGGTTTGTTGGTGCTAGGGTAAAATTTAACTAAGGCCGCTTTCGTTTATTGCTATCCAAACGGTTGAACCGGTTGGATTCGAGTTGTTCGTTTAAGAAATAAGGTCGGACCCAGTAATCAGATGCTGTTTTCAGGCAAGCATTGACAAAGTCTTGCAAGGCATACACTTTTGCAGGTCCGCCAGGATTTATACCAAAATTTGTTGCATATAGAAACAGACGAACCGGTTGTTCCGCATAAACGAACAGGCCCTAGTTTTACGAACATTGTGATCCACCATTATACATACATACACAATGTTAACTACAGTGTAACACTATATGAAACTTACGTGCTCCATAGATTGTGTCTGTCCACAGGGACAAAAACAGGACAATTATATTTAAAGCTATGTTAATTTAACTGAAAACAATGCCTGTGGTTTGACTGCAAGTATTTCAAGCGTCCTTGATATACATGTAATACAAATGGCAGTCGCTTAACTAGGGAGACTCATTATAAAGGGGTGGGCTCATTGTTTAATAATTAGCCTCGTTGTGAGGCAATTAAATATACATCATTAGAGCTTCTCAATCGGGAACCTCCGGCACTTTCCGTAAACGGGAAAATATAATTAAATATACAAGTTTGTAAACAGGTCTTACGGAAAGTGCCAATCGGGAACCGTCGGCACTTTCCGTAAACAAGTATTTTCGACTGGTAAACGATTGGTAGAGGTACAATACACTTTTAAAGCTCTATGATACAGACTCGACAATTGAACTGTCTATCATAGAAACACAGTTATGCGAACTCACCATTGTAATATCTAGCTCAAAAACGGACAATTCTGTAATCAACATCCAACAAAAGCAATATCTGAAGAAGAATCACTGTGATCCAGACTCAATAAAAATACTGTCTCATTTCTAAACTACAATATAGCAACTTCTACTATAGAAACTCTATGAACCGGACTCTATAATAGCACTTTCTACATTGACAACTCTGTAATCCGGATTCAACTAAAGCATTATCTACCATAGAAACTCTGAGACCGGACTCCATAATAGCACTTTCTATTTTGACAACTCTGTAATCCGGATTCAACTGAGGCCATATCTACCGTAGAAATGTGTAAACCTGATTCTTTTATTAGCATGGTCTACTTTGAAACTGTGTCATCTTGGTTTAACAATAATAATTTCCATTCAAGACAATCTCCGATCTAGTTCAACAGCAAAACTATCTTCTTTAAAACCTCTACAAACCGGAACTGAACAAAACTGAATAGCACTGTCGTTTAAAGAAACTCTGTAATCCGAAACCAACAATAACATTATCAGGTTTAGAAACTCTACAATATAGACTCAAGAATAGCATCCTCTTTTTTAAAATTTCTGTATTTCAGACTCTTCAGAAAAGATTAACTACTTTAAAACACTGTTATCCTGACTCAAAAATATCACTAAATACAAACGTTCTTACGTACTTTGTAATCCGGGTCATTAGGACGTAATTCTAGATTTAAAGTAAACTTACAAAAAAGTTGTTAAACATATCAAATCCCGGCTTCAATGTCATGTAATAGACGGGCAGATATTGGAATCTAATCGCTACGAAAGCAATGGGTGTAGTCAGAAAATATCATTTAATGTCGCAGCCAATCGTCACTTCCAGCATCTGAAACAGTCCATAACTACCAAGATATTAAGATAATATTACATTCCATCCTCACAAAATAATACAAGAGGCCCAATGGGCCTGCATCGCTCACCTGTTATTAATCTAACACTTGTAATCGTAAGATTTCATAAAAACCTATTAAGATTTAAACCTATGACGCCTCTGACCTTGATTGTCGAACAAGGACATTAGGTTGAAAGTGGATCAAGGGCATTCATTTGAACAAACTTGGTAGCCCTTGATCCCAGCGGGCTACTGGCTAAATATCTTCACCCTGGGCCTTTTGGTTATTGAGAAGAAGTTGGTTGAAGATTTTAACATATTTCAACCCTTGTGACCTTGAAAGTTGGTCAAGGTCATTCATTGAACAAACTTGGTAGCACTTCATCCCAGTATGCTACAGGCCTAATATCAGTACCCTGTGCCTTTTGGTTATTGAGAAGAAGTTGTTTGAAGATTTTAAAGACATCTTACCCCAATGACCTTGAAAGCCGGCCAAGGTCATTCATTTGAACAAACTTGGTAGCACTTCATCCCAGCATGCTAAAGGCCCAATTTCAGTACCCTGGGCCTTTTGGTTATTGAGAAGAAGTCGTTTGAAGATTTTAAAGACATCTTACCCCAATGACCTTGAAAGCCGGCCAAGGTCATTCATTTGAACAAAATTGGTAGCCCTTTATCCCAGTATGCTACAGGCCCAATATCAGTACCCTGGGCCATTTGGTTATTGAGAAGAAACTGTTTGAAGATTTCAACATATTTGATCCCTGTGACCTTGAAAGTGGGTCAAGGTCATTTATTTGAACAAACTTGGTAGCCCTTGATCC